TTATAAAGTAATTAATTTATTCTTTTGTTTTTATATTTTTTTAATTCTTTTTATAAATATTTTATTTGAAATATTAAATAGAATTATTAATGGAATAATCTATATTAATATACTGTATTATATTAATATAATATACTAATATATTATATTTTTAATGTACATTAGTCGACATTAGTCGACATCTTGTCGACATAATAGGAAAAACTGTATTTTTTTTTTTTTTGGTTATTTGGACTGATTTGGTCAACATTTCTGAAATATAGGAAATGTCAACCAACATAATGTAATTTTTATATTACCATCCATTTTCATGTCAGTGAGCCTCGACATTGACATATGTCGGGCGACATTAGCAACATTTGGCGACATTTGAAACCATGGCTTCACCTTTAAGCCTCTCAAAAGGGTACAAAAAACAATAAAAAGTTCAGCTTATGATAGTAAATTTTTGTGTGATGGGCAAATGAAAATATGTAAATATACTCACCACGCCCTTCACATCTAGGATACTTGTTATGGATGATATATGCTTCTTTGCTGCAATTGAACATGTGGGATATCTCAAATTTAATGTTTTCTCCTGCTCAGCAATGTGGTGCTTCAGGATTCGGTCAATTGTAGTCACTTTTAGCAGCACGTTGAGATCTATCATCCCTAGCCTTTCAATGTATAATGGTCTACCATATCTATCGACCCCATGAAATCCATGAGGATAGCATTTCTTAACTTCTTCATACTCCTCAAACTTAAATTCCTGCAGACAAAAAAGCTTTTTGAATAGTTACAAACAATCAAATGAAATAAAATAGCTTAATAGCTTAATAAAATCCATACCTAGAGCTAACATCATAACCCACTTGAGACAGTGTTAAATAGGCTAAACCCGGTCTGTTAGTTTCTTTTTAAATAGCCAAAGTTGCTCCTAATTGTACTATTGTTATACCTATCAAAGAGTAAAAATAATCTTACTTAGAAACTTCACTGACAAACAATAGGGAGGGAATAAAGACCTCTTCTGGTTTGAAATACCTCTTGTTTCTTCTTGATCATAAACAATAGAATCATCCATTACAAGATGCAAAAAAAAATTACTTGGAAAATGATATAAAAACTTAAATGTCACAAAACTATTTCTATACATTCCAAAATGATGGAAAACAAAACAATATATTTTACATATTCACTTAGTTTGTCATCATTTAGGGAAATGATACATAAAGCATCTCTTTGAGCACTAACAGGAAAAAATTCTTCAGAGAATAACTGTATCACAAAGTTCTATACCAATAAATATAACTAGCAAAATGAAACCCAGTGTAAACTGAAATAATTCTGAGTGGATACCACGTGCAAATGAAGGAAAAATGTGCTGGTTCAACAGTAATATGAATCCAATGAGACAGATAATTTGGCAACCAAAATTAGGTGGAACTCGAATGATTGGGGAGTTGATGAACTTTCTTCTTTCTTGGCTTTGCTTCATAAGAAATAGATTGATCTAATTACTTATAATAAAAGATAATGGAGTGGTAATGCTTTAGAGGTATTCCTGGTTGGATCATTCCTCCATTCACCCCTGGTTTTCCATGCAAGGCCATATGGGACTGGTCTGTTCTCAGGTCTCGGTGCTTAAGAACTTCAGGGGAGTAATATCTTCCTTATTTGTTTGAACCTGATTCCTTATTAAGACCTAGCTAAACACCTTTCATACTTTGTAAAAGATTTTTTTCGTCCTTTGCTTTGTTCCATATATAGCACTTGATGTACATAGCCGAAGGTTTTGCATGTGACCTTGATTGACTAATATCCTTATATTTTGAATATAATTTTTCCTTATCTTCAAAAAAGAGGGAGAAAATACATAGGCTTCAAAATTTAAGTGGATTGGTAAATGTTTCAGTCTTGTTGGTGGGTCATGGACACAAAATTAAAATCTATATGGGAATCAAGAGAAGAACTGAAAAGTACAAGCAAAGAAAGAAAGAGAGATGTGTGTATGCTAGGATTTGAAAAGTACAATTTCCTCAAAGCTTCTGCATCAACCTTTAGGATTTGAAATATCACCTAGAGGGTGCAGCATTAAGATGTGTGTATGCTAGAAAGGTAAAAGAATAAGTCATGAGGACAGACACAGATAAGTGGCTGCATCTTCCTGGGTAAAAAAACTATATTTTCTTTAGAATTGACATAGTAGAGAAACCCCTTGTCCTTGTCCTGTGCATTAGAACAATAAATCCTGTTGTACTCTAGATAAGGCAACATGTTGAATGATCAAAAGCTTTTCAATAGTCAGATCAAATCTGATGTGAAGCCTCACAGCCCAAGACTGGTCTACTGTGAGATGGGTTTAACAAACAGTTTATGTATGGATTACCTTGTGATTTTCTGGATACCTATGTAATGACCCAAAAGCATGACATGTTTGCCACATCACCCTCCAGTCATGTAGCAGGTTTTAGACAAATTGTCATGGTTAAAAGGAAAAACATAATAAGGACTTTCATCTATAACTTTTACAACCCAAAAATTAAAACTTGAACAACAGGCATTACTTAATCTAAAGATGATGCCACTCCAAAGAGCATCTTGTCAAATGTGCAATCTGGATAGAATTCGATGGTGATGATGATGATAAAAGTTGGGGAGGGGGGTGAATTCCTCGATACAACAAAAGGAAATGTTTAGATACTGGTGGGCAATGCTTAGTGCTTATTGCAAGTGCTATCTTAGTGTGGCTTTTGGCCTTTCATGCATACCAAGACATGAGAAACCAAAAAAAATCATATTTGAAGAGAAATAAAAAAACGCCAAGTAAGCTACACAGATTCCAGAGACCTTTCAAGGATGTTTAAGCTAAACTACTTAAAAATGGCCTACCCAACAGTCCCTTAATTCCTGTACCCATTTTTCATCTATAACTTTTGCAAATCCAAAAATTAAAACTTGAACAACAGGCATTTCTTAATGAGGAATCTAGAAAACATAGTGTGTGTATCTAAAGATGATACCAATCCAAAGAGCATCTTGACCAATGTGCAGTCTGGAAAGAATTCGATGATGATGAAGATAAAAGTTGGAGTTCCTTTCCGGCTAAGGAAATTTGGAGCAAGCCTATTCCTCCTCGGGTTGGCTTTTTTTGTTGGGAAATTTTCCTGGAAAGAATAAACACAATTGATTTACTTCAGAGAAAGAGACCCAACTATTGTCTACTTCCTAATAGATGTTCTCTTTGTAAAGCTGATGGGGAATCCGGTTACCACCTCATGGTCTCTTCTAAGGTTACTAAAACTGTATGGGAGTGGGTTTTTTCCCGCTTTGGGTGTTCTTGGAATCCTCCCGAGAGTGTCCAAAGTTTGTTCTCATTCATTTTTCAGATGGCCTAAGAAGTGAGGGAAGATTATGTGGAGGAGTATTAGGGCAGCTGTGTGCTGGTCACTGTGGGAAGAAAGAAATTCACGTATTTTTTTAGACAAGGAAAGAACCCTGAAAGAACTGTTATACCTAATTCTATTAAGGGCTGCCCACTGGCTAAAATCTATGGAATTGTTTTCAAACTTTCCTGTGGCTGACTTGTTAAGAAATTGGAAAGAGGTAGCTACCACTGCTCATTGCAAGAGGACTCTTAGTCCCTCTTGGTCCCCTCCTCCCTCGGGATTTATAAAATTTAATTTTGATGGCAGTAGTGTAAGGAATCCAAGGCTCTCTGAAAGAGGAGGGGTTTTCAGGAATGAGGAAGGGATTGTTATTGCTTTGTTCCCATGCCCTATTGGAGAAGGTGACTCTCTTAGGGCTGAGATCCTTGCAGCGCTGGAAGGAATTTGAAGAGCAAAGGAATTAAATATCAACCGGTTGATCCTGGAAGGTGATTCGAAGGTGGTGGTTAGTTGGTTGAAGAAAGAGGACAGTGGATTGTGGAGCTACAACAATGAAAAGAAAAAGTTCTTATGACTCTGTAGGGACATTGAGATACAATACAGCTGGGTAAAGAGGAATGCCAATTCATTTGCGGATGGGTTGGCCAAGCAAGGGGTGAATAGGGAATCGATCTTTTGGGCTAATTTTTTATTTTCTTTCATTGTATTCTGTTATTGGGGAGCTAAGACATTTTATCTCCCCTCTTGTATCTATAGTTTCACAATTTTCTTATTATTAATGAAGCTGTTGTTATTGATCAAAAAAAAAAAATGATAAAAGTTGGGGAGGGGGTGAGTTCCTCAGTACAACAAAAGGAAATTTTTAGATACTAGCGAGCAATGCTTAGTACTTATTTGCAAGTGCTATCTTAGCATGGCTTTTGGGCTTTCATGCATACCAAGACATGAGAAACCAAAATATCATATTTGAAGAGAAATGTAAAAAGCCAAGTAAGCTACACACAGATTCCAGAGACCTTTCAAGGATGTTCAAGCTAAACTGCTTATAAATGGCCTACCCAACAGTCCCATAATTCCTGTACCCGTTTTCTCCTGTAGCCTTAATATATATCAAAAGCGTAAGTATTAAGCATATTATTTTGGCCGTCTTCACCAGTAACTAGTCAGCTTGGCGCTTGAGATCACTAAAACTACTATGATACTTTTTATAAAACTCAACGAAAGCATATTAGGGAGCTCCTGGCCTTTGCCTAGTTTTGCGGGGAAGTTCGGTTCTTTCGTGCCTCTGGCCTTTGCCTAATCTGGGTCTCGGATTAGGCTCTGTTGGTTTTTTGTAGCGTCTTGTTGTGACGAGGCTGGCTTCAGTTATTTGTTTTGTTTGGGTTAGGGAGCCCATTTATCTGGTTTGTTGTATCTGGGTACTCTCTCTTGTTGAGGCGCTTTAAGTGCCTCCACTGTATACACCTTGTATATTTTTTTGTTTCTTGTTTCTATTAATAAATTCTACCTTACCTTCCTCCAAAAAAAAACAAAGCCTATTAGGAATTTTTTTTTAGAAAGATCAATGTGGTCATGTCACATGTGTAAAGTATAATCATGTTAAACATATAGCCAAATCATATATAACACTATAACATGGCCAAATTAACTAGTCTGCTTTTGTCTTATCACATTGGCCACTGGTCTTAACACATTCACCTTTTGTAAAATTTCATGGCCATCATATGCAAAATATCCTGTACTTGAAAATTATCATTCTCATTCCAAAGGCTTAAGGACCAAACTAGGATTTCCTATCTGGCCATGAATCAATGATATTTTATGATTTTGAGAACATACAGAAGAGAGTTTAGACTAACCTTAGCAATTGCATCAACCCCAAAATCATCACGCCACTTGAGCATTTTTAGATATAAATCTTTTGCCTTTAGCTTATCAAAATTCTTCACCCGCAGAAATCTGCACAATCCTTTAAACATAATATTAGAATGTTACAGATACACCACTAGAAATTCTTGGAACAGAAAAATATATTTTTTTTGGCATCTTCAAATTAAAAAAGCTACTGGTGGTTACATATAAACATCTGAAGAAAGAAGAACATTGTCCTAAAAGATTGGTAAGAGCATTTCTCTACTTCAAAAGTTACAAGTTACCTTAGAAGCGTATGATAGTCATCATGTTTCCTTGGAAATTGATTATCTGATGAAAGCAATTCCCGGAAGCACTCGACATGTTCTTCATCTGCGGGACAACGGGGCCCTTCCAGAACCATTTGCATGCTCTTGGTGCTTCCAGTTCTCTTCAAAAACTCCCCAAACTTTAACGGATAAGACATCATAGACTTAAAGCTCGACCTTAACAAGGGCAATTTCCTTCTTTCTTCAGATAAATGCGAATGTTCCTCAAGGAGTGGGTTGAGAGATGAACTCCTTCCATTCGTAAACTGAGGATCACAATGATCTGCAGGTTGTTCCTCTCTTCCAGTACCCCCCAATATAACTATCTCGTTTAAGCTTTCCCTCTAAGTAGGCATATATACCCGTTGGAAAGGAAATTGAGATGGGTTGAGCAAAATAGTTCACTCCAACTCTAGAAAACAGAAATTTGAACGGCCAATAACAAACATAAGCTGTCCAAACAGAAATTAATAAAAATAACAAGCAATCATGCTTCGAATATGGAGAAAAATCGTCCGAGGAAAATAAATTGAAAATGCCACAGAAGACGTGGTTAGTGAAACTGTTACGACCTCTAAAGGTTAGAGGGTTACCTGCGGCCGAGCTGTCGTGGAAAGGGATATGGACTAGCCGCTAAAGTGAAAACTATACAGATGACAGAACGAACTGTTTTGTTTGATGCGTTTCAACAGTCTTAAGGCCAAAGACTTGGCGTCTTGATCAAGTAGATCACAGAAACCACTGATGCAAACGGGGGGGAAAAAGCAAAATTGCTCCGGCGGATAAGGTACCAATTAATGAAACCAAGAGGAGTGGGAGGGAGATGAGAATGATCGACATTCGACATTGCGCAAAACGTGTTGATAACAAAGTGGAGTATCGGATTCCCCCTGTTGTCTCCCATCAAATTATTCGAATTTCTGAATATTTTAGAACGAAGAAACGCAAAAAAAGTTGCCGGATCGCTGCACAGAGAAGCTGTAAAGGTGAGAGAGCATGAAGCGCCGAAGGGAATATCCTCTCAAAGAAAGACGCGCCAAAAATCTCCTGCTAATTAGTTAACCATGACGTTGGTAGTGATTGGCGAACGTACAACTGTATCTACTGATACCCAACGAACGGCTAAAGATAGTTACGTTGCTACGAGTACGAGTTGCAAACATCGTTCATAAGAGATGCTACAGCGATTCACCGCCCTAGTTGACTAGCTCTCTCTCCACCGGTTTGACCCGGTGCCTGAGAGCCGAGAGGCGACAGTCGATTTCATGCCCTACGGTGTGCATTATCAACCAGGTTCATTGTTTGACGAGAAAGGGGACAAGACTTGTGTGTGTATAACCCTATCCTTGTAATTTCATTGTTTTCTCCTTTGCCATACTTATTTTGTAGGAATTTGTTCAAAGCAAACTAATATATGCACTACTCTTTATCAAAATCAATATCATTTGGACCTTCAGCAAGTTATAGATTTATTTTTCCACGTTAGTATCCTGAACTTTGTGGTAGTGTGTTTGCACTATCCAAACTTTTTAAGTGTCAAGTTGGTCCTGCCATTAATGGACTGTCAATTATCTATTGAAAATGTCAACACTGTCCAAGAAGACATTGTTCATTGTCTTATACCTTGAGATTAAACAGTTGTGTTTGAGATTCTAGACTAATGATGAAGCTATTGTCTTCTATTTTTACATCGGAAAAATATTCTTATCGAAAAGACCGGATCTGCTCTTCACACAGGGTGCCTCACACACATACCCTACCATGCATTGGGAACATCTCCTGTACTTACAAGTTATTATTCATGGGAGATGTTCCCAATGCACAATGGATGTGCCTGTGAGGCGCCCCATGTGTGAGGAACAGATCCTGTCTCCTTATCTAGTTATTTCTTTACTTTCAATTATTATTTATGTTTTTTCTCTCTTTTTCTTCGAAGATAATCAATTCAGTTTCAAAATAAAAGACAATGAACAGTGTCTTGTTTTGGAGGATAGTTTTGACATTTTGAAGACAATCGGCTAATGGTAAGAACCAATTTGACACCTTTTGAAAGTTTAAATACTGCACAAGTTTGAAATCACTACCAAAAATTCAGGATACTAAAGTGAAATTTTACCTTATTTTTAAAACATTGAAATCCTAAAATGGAGGTCGCCAAGGTTGTCTTTCAAGAAACAGGGCTTACAGAAAAGGTAGAAACCTTTTCGATTTCCCTTCCCCCACCAGATGGTTCCGGAATCCTATTCTGAGGCCCTTCTGCCAATGGTGACTCGATAACCTACCTATTAATCTCTTGAACGCATTTTGAAGAAATTTTAACTACTTTGCGTTGTAATTACCTGAAACTCCCAAACAAACCCTAACCATCAAATTTCCTACTTCAATTCAGATGATGAATTGTAAAAGCAGAGTTGGACTTTATTTTTTGCTGCAAGGCAAAGTTAGACTCTTGATCGTAGAACTCTTCTTAGGCAGGGAAAAGACATGGAAATCATTCTCCTGAAATACCATACATCTATATAGTTGTGACATCCTTGAGTCAATACACTGGAGGAGAAATCTCCAATACCTTCTACCATGGATTTTCTCCATGGAACTGTGATATTGAATTCCTTCCAAAAGATTATGCTGGTTAAAAAAAAAGAAAAAGTTTTATATAACTAAACTGATTGCAAAAATAAAAATCTGGCAATAATTTGGACAAATAAATGGATAGAGGATCCCAAAAACTAAATTTTATGGTCACTGTAATCTTCTTTCTTGACAACCAGTAACCATGCAACTACCTGTAGTTCCACAGGCATTAAGCTTCAAGTTATCAGGTCAAGTTGCTTTTTTTTCTAGCAGATGCAGAAGAAGTGAAAAATCAAATATACAAGGAAAATAATGCTAAAATGAGAACACACTATCTATCATGATCCAGTTTCCTCCTGGATGAAATTTTCAGCATATTAACTCATGTTCCTTGGAACTCTAATAATATAATTCCGCCACCCAAATGCAAGATTAGGCCTCCCAACTTCTCATGCAGGGATGAACAACCAACTTTTAAGCATTATAATGGAATGTCATGTTATCAGCCAGGATCCAACTTGAAATGAATTTTTCCATATATACCACACTGCACATAAACCTCATGTTCTTGGAATTCCGGTAATTAAGCCAAAATCTTTGCGACACCCTAAATGCAAAAAGCCTGCAAATCATTGAAGATGGAAGGAGAAGTGGAAAGCTACTGTCTACAAACTACTTTTAAATGATGGGCTGCTTATTACAACAGCTTCCAAACAAAACCAAGTACAGGCGATTACAAGGAACATAGTCTCACACAAATCAATCATAGAGGTTTCTCATTCTCCATACACATAAAATACATATATATTGATGTATTTGAGTCAAATGCTTCAACTTTGAGTGAAATTTTCATATCCGATACTTTATCCAGCCATGTCCTTGCCATATCTGGATAAATATTCCATACTTTTTTTGATCAATGTAAATAGTTCCATACTCTCTAAGGTAACATTTTCTAACCACACAGGTTGTTCAAATGTGAATGTTAAAGCTTATATCTAATGGAGTGAACCTGGTAGCACCCAACTAAGCACAAGCAACTTCTGCAGCTCTCTTACCTTCAACACGTTTAATGGGGAGATCTCCCCAAAATGAGCCACTGAACACATTAAAGGCAGTAGCAGAGATAGACAGAAGATCTAACTAATGCAAGCTGCACTTTTATGGGCTTGTTGGAACCCTTTGGCCTCAATTAAGTCTTTCTTCTCTAATTTTGGGCTGGTAGTTTGCAAGGTCACCTAGAAACCCATATGGTTAGATTGGTCGCACTTGCACAGAACTGCATAGAGCTTTTTGAACTTTGAAGCAGAAATAGTTTGCTCTAATTTTCACTCAAGTCTTTTTTCTCTAATTTTATCTATCAAAANCCCCCCCCCAAATAAAGTAAAATAAGGAAAGCAAAAGAAAAAAAACAGACATAAAGGCAAGATAGCATCAAGCACATTATCAAAGGAAATCACATATATTTGCATTACAATGTGAGATAAAGTGAGGTGGAGCTCCCATCAAATATCATGCTTCATTGTAAAAGTGTGCAGTAAACCCAAGCAAACCATACACTAAAAGGCGGCTGAGACTCAAAACATATTATAGACACCACAACAAAGACGAAGCGCCAGGTTCAGAGTTGACTCTTTCTGAATGTTATAGTCTGCCAGAGTTCTCCCATCCTCAAGCAGTTTCCTTGCAAAGATGAGCCTCTGATGGTTCGGAGGGATCCCCTCTTTGTCTTGAATCTTGGCCTTCACATTGTCTATCGTGTCTGAGCTCTCCACTTCAAGGGTGATGGTCCGATCTATCCACTTCACCAAGATCTGCATGCCACCACGGAGACGGAGGACCAAGTGGAGGGTGGATTCTTTCTGAATATTGTAATCAGCCAGTGTTCTTCCATCTTCTAGCTGCTTCCCAGCAAAGATGAGCCGCTGCTGGTCAGAAGGAATTCCCTCCTTATCCTGGATCTTTGCTTTTACATTGTCTATAGTATCAGAACTCTCCACTTCTAAAGTAATGGTTTTCCCAGTCAGTGTTTTGACAAAAATCTGAATGCCTCCACGAAGTCGAAGGACGAGGCGGAGGGTGGACTCCTTCTGAATGTTGTAATCTGCCAAGGTACGGCCATCCTCTAATTGTTTTCCAGCAAATATGAGCCTCTGTTGGTCAGGTGGGATGGCTTCCTTGTCCTGAATCTTAGCCTTAACATTGTCTATGGTGTCTGAGCTTTCTACTTCAAGCGTGATAGTTTTCCCGGAAGCGTCTTAACAAAGATTTGCATGCCACCCCTCAGACGGAGAACAAGGTGGAGAGTAGACTCCTTCTGAATGTTTAATCAGCTAATGTCCGGCCATCTTCAAGTTGTTTTCCAGCAAAGATAAGCCTCTGCTGGTCAGGAGGGATCCCCTCCTTGTCCTGGATCTTGGCCTTGACATTGTCAATTGTATCAGAACTCTCTACCTCCAGGGTGATTGTTTTTCCAGTTAACGTCTTAACAAATATCTGCATTCCACCTCTCAAACGAAGAACCAGATGCAATGTGGATTCCTTCTGAATAATGTAGTCTGCCAAGGTTCGACCATCCTCTAGTTGCTTACCAGCGAAGATAAGTCTCTGCTGGTCAGGGGGATTCCTTCTTTATCTTGGATTTTGGCCTTGACATTGTCAATAGTGTCAGAGCTTTCAACCTCCAGAGTGATGGTCTTTCCAGTGAGAGTCTTGACAAAGATCTGCATCTGTAACAACAGGGATACAAGTTTAGAAATACTG